CTCTTTTCTGCATGTAAACTCCTTGAAGGCAGAGGTCATGACATTTTTTTGAATCTTCCCTAGCAACCAGCACACAGCCCACAATATAGCAGAGCTCAAAAACGCCTGGGATGAAAAGATATTGTGCCTGGGGATTTGCTTTGAAGCAATCCAGTTTGGGGGCAGGAGATGGAAATGAGGTAAAAATGAAACAGAATTGGCCATTTGTTAATCATTGCTGAAGGTGGGTGATGGGTATATGTTCATTATATTATTATTTCTCCTTTTTTTATTTTTTTAATTTCCATAATCAAAAGATTGTGTTTTTTAAAATGTTTGTTTCATTGATTGGTCAATAGCATTAGAAAGAGAATTTCTGGCCAGGCGCGGTGGCTCAAGCCTGTAATCCCAGCACTTTGGGAGGCCGAGACAGGCGGATCACGAGGTCAGGGGATCAAGACCATCCTGGCTAACATGGTGAAACCCCGTCTCTACTAAAAAATACATAAAACTAGCTGGGCGAGGTGGCGGGCGCCTGTAGTCCCAGCTACTCGGGAGGCTGAGACAGGAGAATGGTGTAAACCCGGGAGGCAGAGTTTGCAGTGAACTGAGATCCGGCCACTGCACCCTAGCCTGGGCAACAGAGCGAGACTCTGTCTCAAAAAAAAAAAGAAAAAAAGAAAGAGAATTTCTGCAACAACAATGGTGATAGAAATGGAATACATATGTATCAAGGCCACTTCTGTAGCCCAAAAAAGTTAAGAGCACAGCCTTCGGTATTAGGCAGGCTTGAGTACAAACTGTCTTAGGCCCTCAATATTAGGCAGGCTTGAGTACAACTTGTCTTAGGCCCTCGATATTAGGCAGGCTTGAGTACAAATTGTCTTAAGCTTAGGGACCTCAAGTCAGCTATTCGACGCCACTGAAACTCCATTTTTCTTTATAAATAAGGGCATTAATAACTGTCTCAAAAGGTTGTAGTAAAGATTAATGAGGGTAAAACACAGGGCCTAGCACCTGATAGCACTCAATAAAAAGCGGGCATCATTGTCATTCAGTGATACACACACTTGTCAAGCTCCAGCCAACACAGCCTGATGGTGACAGCCCAACACCCTTCCACTGCAGCTGAGATTTCAGTTAATCAGCCTGGGCACCAGACAACTGCTTGGCAGAGGACTTGATAGAACAGATGTCAGGAGTTGTGTTCCGGATACCCAGAACAGAAAACAGATAAGACCATAGCAAAGGACAAAGCCTATAGCTCCTGACCTTACTCAACAGGTCCCCAAAGAGGCTAAATTCCACATCTCAAGGAGGCAATCGAGAAACAAGAGTGATGAAGTCCTTACGAAAGTGGTTTGAAACTTTGATCAAACATTGGCATCACCTGGGGAGCTCGAAAAACCACAATGTCTGTGTCCCACTCCCAGATTTTGATTTAATGGTCTGGGATATGGCCTAGGTTTCAAGACCTTTAAAAGTCTAACATGATCTAATGTACAGCTTTAGTGTCACTGCTGTAAAAGAAAGCTGAGCCACTCCTGTGTGTGAGTTGGGGTTGGAGGTAGGGAGGGAAGAGGACAAGGGAAAACAAAGGGAAAGAACAGAGGCCAGCGAGTCCCACATGAAGCCCATTAAAGCCAAGTCAGTCATGTGGTCTCAAGCTGTGTCCCATGCCAGACAAATCCAATCCCATTAGAGTCCCATCACTCCCCACATAAGCTTCAAGAGAGGGTTATTGTGTAATCATTCACAGGGCTAAAATATGTGACTAATACCGGGATGCGTGCATATCAATATTCTAAAGAATATTAAAGCAATGTAGTTTATCTCTGGGTTTTGGTCTTGGGGGAAAAAAAAAATGCCCAGCTAAGTGATGGAGGTTGGAGAAAGGAGAAAACATCCATCTCCCCGGCATTTTGGCAGCCTGTCAATGTGACTGAAGCACACTCAAAGAGGCAGCCTTATTTTGTGACGTTATTGCAGTGTCTTTGATCAGCGGGAAAAGCACATCCATTTCAATCACTGTAGCTGGGATGGACCTGCTGCCTGGCTGTCTGGCTGCCCACCAGGGTGAGCTAGCCTTCAGCCTATAGACACATGGCAGTGCTTAGCATGTCAAACAAATGAGGGGGTTCTTAACTATCTACACAACTCTTGCTGAATGTCAGGGACTCTCTCGTTTACCAATTTAGCCTGGACTAATCTGGAAGTTCCTTTCCCCCAGTAAACACCACCTGGTCTGGCCTAGCCTCATCAAAACAAAAGCTGGCCAGTGGGCTGTCTGTCATGAGGTAGCCATCACTTCAGAATCAGGAGGGCAGGGGTCAACCATTCCTATAAGCAACACACCCAGGATTACACAAACCTGGAGAAAGAAAAAGCCAATGGCAATGAACTCCACTCTCCTCCTTTACCTTCACCCTGTCTCAGCCCCAAACTGATCTGAGAGAAGTCTGATTCCTCCACGCAGACATGAATTCTTAGCAATGCAGTTTTAAATCTATGCAAAGATCACCCACATTCTTTTTACCAGAATAAACAGTTTTTTAAAATTTGATGGAAGAGTTCATCCATTTTCCAACTTGGGGATTTTCAACAGAAGCTTTGGTGGGTTTTTTTCTTTTTTCTTTTTTTTTGCTCTGCCTCCCGGGTTCACGCCATTCTTCTGCCTCAGCCTCCCGAGTAGCTGGGACTACGGGCACCCGCCACCACGCCTGGCTAATTTTTTTGTATTTTTTAGTAGAGACGGGGTTTTACCGTGTTAGCCAGGATGGTCTCAATCTCCTGACCTCATGATCCACCCACCTTGACCTCCCAAAGTGCTGGGATTACAGGCGTGAGCCACCGCGCCCGGCTGGGTTTTTTTTCTTAAGTGGCATAGTGGTATCGACATGATAGAAAGATATGAGTAGTAGAACTACAGGAGAGATGGGAATAATGATGATGATAATGACAAAACTTTATATATTATTTATGTGTTCCAAGTGTTTCATGTGTGTTAACTGATTTTATCTTCATCACAACCTAATGAAGGAAGTTATAATAATGATCATTAACAATAGTAATTATAGGAATATATAATATGTAACAATTATTATGACATATAATAATAATGAACAACAGAAAAGCAATCATAATAATCAATCTCCACTTTTCAGATAAGACACCCAGAGAAGCTCGGGGACTTACCTGAAGGGTGGGGGCTGAGCTTTGTGCCAGGTGTCCAGCTCCAGGAACAGCACGCTAACCAGAGCACCAGACTGCCTCCTTCCAGAGCACACCTCAGAGCCTCCTTTAAAGCTGCCAGCTCAGAAAGCCAGCAGAGTATAGAGGGCTTCCGAGGGCTCTGGACTTAGGAATTCGTGAGTCTGAACTCCAGCTCTGCCACTCCACATCCCACACCTGTTGCATCCTCTATAAATGGGGATAATGACACCTACCTCACAGGCTTGTGGTAAGGTTTAAATGACAAAATGAATCAAAAGCACCTCTCCCAGAGTCAGCAACGAAAGTCGGTTTAACCCGGTGACTATCAAGCCTGGCTACCCATTTGAATCAACCAGAAAACTTTTTAAATGCTGATATCCAATCCCCAACCTCCTTATCCCTCTACATTTCTACCTCAACAGAAAGTTAGTCTCAAATCAGTAATCCACTGTGTCCCACCTGGATATTAAACCTGAAGCCCCTCAGACCAAAGACCAGCCTATACACCCTTTGCCACATTGATCGAGAATTACAGGCAAGCTTTTAAATCCCTGAAGCCTCTGCCCCTGGCTCTAAGACAGCAGGAATCCCCCCAAATGTTGTTTGATTGGACAAAGGAAGTTGCAGGTGCCAGGACCATTCCCAACAACTTGGCTAAGCTCACCCTTGTCCAGTGACCTTCCCCACATTCATCAGGACAGCACCTTCACCCAGCTGGCACCATATCTGACTCTCACAGAAGCTTCCCACCTCCCACCTCAGCCACAAGCCCCTGCATAGGAGGAAGCAGCCCAGAAGCTTTCCTGAGAAGCACCTTTCTGTCCCACCGTTGCCTGTGTTTTAGAAATAGTCTGTGCCAAGGCCAGGTGTGATGGCTTACACTATAATCCTAGCACTTTTGGAGGCTGAAGCAGGAGGATCACTTGAGGGCAGGACCTCGAGACCAATCTGGGCAATGCAGCAAGATCCCTGTCTCTAAAAAATATTTTTAAAATAAGCTGGGTGTGGTGGCGTTTGCCTATAGTCCCAGCTATTCAGGAGACCTGGGTGGAAGGATAGCTTGATCCCAGGAATTCAAGGCTGCAATGAGCTATGATTGTGCCACTGCACTCCAGCCTGGAGTGAGACCCTATCTGCAACAGAGTGAGACCCTGTCTTGAAAAAAAGAAAAGAAAAAATAAATAGTCTGTGCCAAGATCAACACAGTCAGCATTACTTTGACAATACATTAACCAGAAGACCATCCAAGATGAGAGGTAGGACTGCCTGACTTAGGTTTTAAAATCTTAGTATATGCATACCTGTATGTGTATATACACACACACACTCACACACTCCAAGAACTATAGTACACTTTGTGCTCAAAAAGGACTCTGCTTCGTTCAAGGACTGGGTATAGAAAGCAGGGAGGGCAGGGGGTAGCAATAAACAGGGAAGGGAATACTGGGGTTGCCCATGGAAACCGGCAGTAATAAGAAAAATAATCAGCCCACATTTGACAGAAGAGAAAAGCACAGCTCTGGCCCTCAAAGGAGACAGCCAGCAGGGAGGATGGGGACCAAGCAATGCCAGTTTCCTGGCTCAGGCTACCATGCATCTTTTCAGGACCTACTGCCAGTTGGCAAGAGGTGGCGTGGGGGGCCATGGAGGGGTCGGGGAGGGGGAAGGCAGCACGGAGGAGAGTTAAAGAGCCACTCACTCGACTGTTTCCCAGAAAGTGAAGGCGCCAAGCAGCCCTCGCGCTCTCAGGACACCTCCCCTCTGCTTCCGTCCAGGAAAGAGCCCAAGAGGATTGTCCAAGGCCTCACCTGGGTAAAGGAGCCGTCCTCACCACACTCTGGGACAAACACAGCTTCCTGAGGCTTCTTGGCTTGCTCCAGGGCTTGAGCCCGCTCCAAGCGACACTTGCTCTGGCCAGCATCTGAAAGGGGAGAGGAGCGGATTTCATATTTCACTTGGATTCGACACTGGGGCCGAGGGACAAAATGGCTGAGAAAACCACTCCACCTGTGCGGGAGCCCACACACAACCAACTGGCTTCTCCAAGCCTGAAAGGGCTGTGGCTAGGGGCTGCTGCACAGCCCCCCTTCCCTGCATGTCAGTCACAGAAAAGTGGAGGAGTCATGTTTTTCCCAAGTTCTGCCTGTCTTTTCTCCCAAGTACCTCTACCCTCGCCCCATAGAAAATAAAAAATGTGTTACTTCCATGATTTTTCACTGGGTTTATTCTAAAAGTAGTAAGCCCAACGGGGGTTCAACTATGTCTTATGGTTCAAGAATTGCAAGTATTTTCTTTAGAAAATCAGAGGCTCTAGCGCAGCCTGCTTAGCCACCTACAATTCCTGGGATGGCTCTAAGCAGTCCGGGACTACAAATTCAAATATGTTCAGGATTCAGGAAAAAGATACAAATTAGAGAGACCAGCTGGATATGAGAAGAATGACACTCAGTTCTGAGAGGCTACAGGGAGTGCTGTAAGACTGTGGCAAACTGGAGAACAGGCTTCCCTTTAAAGGGGTAGCTGTTATGCAGGTCTAGTCATGTGTTGCTTTGTAGGAACACAGATCTAATGTTACCAGACTTCCCAATTTTGGAACAGAAGGACAAAAAGCAAGATTTTTTTTCACTGAATCTCCCAATTTTTAAATGTTATCCCAAATGTTTTTTGCTGTTTTTAAACAGGCAAGGAGACCAAACAAAACATATCTGTTGGCCAACAATTTGGAATCACTATTTGGGAGCCAGCAATAATGTCTTGCCATTTTAAGCATCTCCATAAAAAGAAAAAGGAAAGCACTTGCCAGATAGCAGCACATCTCTTTAAGCCCTAGCTTGGGGGCAGTGTGTGAAAGACAGAAAAATGCTCATTCCTTCAGGTAGACCAGGCCTTCTTCCTTCCACCCTGGTGGAAGGGGTGGAGAGACAGGAAAGCAAAGTGAGTAGACAGATTTATTCCAAGCTCCCCTGCTGCAAATGCACAGTGAGGGAGCTGGGGTGCCCAGGAAACTCTCCTTGGCTGGGCAGGGGGTGCACACACTCACCTTTGCATCTACCTCGATGCACCACGCCCAGGGTCTGGTCTCGGCACTTGGCTCGCTGGTACTCACACATGGACTCATAGGACCTGCCATCAGAGGCACAGATGGGTTTGGGTTGAGTCCTGGAGCAGTGGAGGTTGCACTGAGGGTCACGGTCACTTATTAGAAACTAGGTTGGAAAAAAGTGAAAGGGTACAGAGGTTACTTTTGCAAGAAAAGTAGGGGCGAGTCCATGACTTACAGTACTTGTTTGCCTTTAGAAAGTAAGTCCCGAATAAACCCAAATAAAACCCTGAAAGTCAAGGGAACGGAGCAGCCACAAAGTCTAGCCAAGGAAGGCATCATCTATGCCTCATACGAACAATAATGTCTAACAATTACTGACCATTAACAGGCACTGTGCCAGGTAATTCGCATCCAGGACCTCAGTCCTCACAACAACCCTATGAAATAGGAACTCTGTTCTGTAGACAAGGAAACCGAAGCCCAGAGACATAACTTGCCCAGTGTCACATAGCTATAAGAAGTGGAGGCTGAATTAGAATCTAAATCTGTCAGAAGTAAAGTCAAAGCTTTACCCTCTAGGATGTCCAGCCTCTCCATCCATGCAGACAGCCATGCAGCCTCTATTTGGGTGCATCCTCAAATCAGGAACATACTCTCAATCTCCAAATTCCATCTCGGGAAAGTTTCATTTATTAGATGGTATTGAGCTCCAAATCTATCCTCCCTCCAATTTTTGCCCACCTCTCTCTGGCAGAATACAAGTTAAATAATTTTCTGTGAGAAACAGATTTCCTGATTTTTAAAATAACAATAATCAGCTTGGAAAATATTGAGTTAAGCAGATTTTCTTGGTGAAGGGCTTCTCAGGTGACTCTAATACATTCTTATGCATTGTGAACCTCCAAGACACATAGTAAATTAAAGATAGCTACAAATTATTTGCTACTCCTCCCATTGAGCTATGGAGTCTAATTTCCTCTCCCTTGAATCTGGACTGGCCTCAGGAACTTGCTTGACCAAGAAAATGCTATGGGAGTGGTGTCTGGGGACTTCAAAGTTAGGTTACACGAAGCCTTGCAGCTCCTACCTGGGCCTCTTGTAATACTCACTCTTGAGGAAACCAGCTGCCGTGTAAGAAGCCTAACAACCCTGAGACCATCATACTATGAGGAAGCCCAAGTTTACATATGTCAAAACTATGCAGAGAGGGAAACGCCCAACCAGCCCAGGCACAGAGACATGTTGAGTGAAGAAGCCTTCAGGTGAGTCTAATCCCAGCTGTCATCTAATTGCAACTCACAGAGATGAAAATAAACAATTGCATGAGAGACCCCAACTTCAGAACCACCCAGCTGAGCCCAGTTAACCCACAGAACTGAGAGAGACTATGATAATAAATTGTTTTAAGCCTTTATGTTTTGTGGTAGTTTGTTACACAACAATCAACCAGATCAAGGGGCATATACAATGAAGGATCTTCCAAAGTTACTTAACCATGAACCCCTATATCAGGGAACCCTCTGTTAACAACAACAGAATACAGTTGGAAAACAATAATTGGGCTATTACAATCCATGAGCTTCTGTTCAATGACTCACGGTTAGACTGTACGGGCCTTGAGACCTGGGTCCACTCTTATCTACTCCCATATAGCAGAGTCCTGGGCACACAGAATGAGGCTCTTCATCAGACTGGGTTGAGGGAATGAATGTCCCACAATAATGAATGGCAATGTCATGAGCACACATCAGGCTATTGGTAATGGTAGAGATGACTATGTAATCAAATCAAGCTCGTAGAGGTTTTGGGAAGGCGTGAATATAAGCTCTGTCTCAGACGTATTTGTGGGCCCTTTGTGTGAAGCAAACAGATGAGAACTTGTTGACCCTTTTCCAGAACAGCAGAGAAAGTTTCAGAGGTAGTACCACACCCTTCAAGGGAGTACCGGAAACACACATCCCACACTGGCCAAAATCAAAGAGGACCTGAACCTGTCCATAAACACACAGACTACATCCCAGCTATAAAACCAGTCCCTCCTTGGGACTGGACCTCATGCCTGGGTGCTGGCTGCCTAGTACAGGGACAGAGCAGCTAAGGGCTGAAACCACTGCACAGGACTTGTCCAAATGGACAGTGAAATTGCGCTTTCTCTTCAGACGCCTTCGGCAAGGTCACACCTGAATCTTGCCCAGGGCCCGAAGGGAAATATCCAGATAGTGTCTTGTGAGCACAGCATTTGATAGAGTCCGGTGTTCAGGGGTAAAAAATAAATAACTCAGATCATCGTCTCCAGAGGAAGCCCACAGCCTCCAAGGCTGCCCCACAGAAGAGGGGTAAGCTGACAGGGGGAAGTGGGAGAGTACATCATTGTTCAGTCAAGCCCTGCACATGACCCCCAGCCTCAACTCCCTTTGAGTTGCCCCTGCTTTAAACCTGCGAGCCGTGTTCCACTGCTCGGGGACCCTTACATCGTCTCCTGGGCCTGGTGAGAATCGGACCCAAGGGCCCCTCTCTAGCCCTCTGCTCTCTCTTCCTTGCTCTCCCTTGCTCCCTGCTGGTGGGGCACACAGGCCTTCCCATTTCTCAGATGAGCTACCTCTGCTGCTACCTCCAGGCCTTCAGGCACACTGTTCCTTCTCCATTCCCTCCCACCCTGCTTTGGATTTTGACTCAGGCGGTCTCTTCCGGGAGGCCCTGCCTGACTCTCCCAGGTGAGGATGATATCCTGTAATACTCCCTCATACTTCATTTTTCTTTCATGGCTTTTCACACAATTTGTAATGAAGAATTCATTTGTGTGATTTGGTTACCAGTGGGATCCCCAACTCTGAGCTCCATGAAGATGAGAACGATGTCCGCTTTGCCTGTGAACACCTGCCCCGAGCATCTAGCACAATCCTGGGGCCCTCCATCATGTGTGGGAGGAGTGCAGCCCTGTAGCAGCATCTCCCACATGCCATTCCTTCAACACCACTGCCAATGGGACGTCACGGGCCTGGCTTTCTGGGCTCCTGCCTCCCCTGGGGATCACCAGGGCCACTCCTCATGCTCCCGTGCTTTGAACCTTGCCATCCTCAGCCATGTTCTCCCATCGGACTTCTGCATTGCACGTGGGCAGAAGTGGCCCAGAGCCTGCCACCTTTACTCCACCTCAGAACAAGAACTCTCATCAGAGGCAGGGCTGTCTCACCTGGATGTTCAGCATCTGGTGTCTGGCACACAGAGTAGGCACTTGGTCAACAGTTTTTGACTTTGTGAAATCCTTTTTGCAAGTGGGCCAGTGTTTCTGTTTGTTATAATGAAAGGCAGTGGGACCTAGTGATTAGAAGCTCGGCTCTGGAGCCCAGCAGTCGGTGTCAGTACCAGCACCAGCACCCACATGCTGTTTAACCTCGGGAACGTTGCCTTGCTTCTCTGGGCTTTTAGTTTTCTCATCCATAAAATGAGAGTAGTAACAAGCCTTGCCTCATAGGGTGGTGCGAAGATTCAATTATTAACATATCCTAAGTCACGTATAAGTTCTTGTTCATCTTCTTTCTTTGGAATTTAAGAGAAGCGGGGCATGGTTTAAGAGAACACACAGAAAAAAGAGGGAGAGGAAGACAAAGCTTCTTTTCAAACCCACTGAGGCTGTCTAGTTGCCTGTGCTGTAGCTCATGGGACAGGAGAGCTGCCAGCGTCCCCGTGAAGTTGAACTGCAGGCCAAAAAATCAGTTTGAAAATGGATTGCTCTATGCCAAGAGAGAGGCCACAGCGACTGTGCCGGAGACCAGCTCCCTAACAAGGGGAACACTCTGTCTGCAAACAGACAGGTTAAAGAACTTCAGAGGCCCCACCCACGCCAACACACAGAGATCATTCTCAGCTTCAGAAGAGCACCCAAAATATTCCTGTCTAGAAATTACTGGTCCCTAAGCCCAAATAAAAAGTTCGGAGACAGCATGGGGTCATTGACAATCTTCAGTCAACTATGGTGTCACATTTTCATCTGTTTTAGGAACTGTGTATATTTGTGATTGTTTTCACACACACGAAAAAAATGAGTTCTATAAAATGGAGCTTTAACCAGATGACTAAGCCCTAATAAGATCACCCAAACCTCCGGGGCCCCAAAGGGATTATTCTGTGTCCAGAAACACTGAGGATGAGGTAACACTCCGGTTCGTTCCTTCATCTGTTCATCTGCTCTTTACTCAATAAGTGATCACCAACAGTGAGCCCAACACTGTACCAGCATAGGAAGCAATACGTAACCAACATTGTACCCACCCTCAGTGAGCTTACCATTTAGGGTGGAGGCAAGGAGCATGTTAACAGGACACCATGGAGCTATTAAGATAGAGGCAATAAGAGAAGGCTTAATCCTAGAGACTCTGGAATACTCCAAAGCCACACAGTCCAACAGAACTTCTCACTGTGATGGACATGTTCTATATCTGTGCCATCCAATACAGCAGCCACAAACCACATGTGGCTATTAAGCACTGCAATGTAGCTAATGCAACTGGGAAATCAAATATTTAGTTACGTTTAATTTTAGTTAATTTAAGTTTAAATGACCACATGTGGCTAGTGGCTACCGTATGCAACAGCCCAGTTATAAAGTAAACAAACCAATAGGAGACGAGAGAGGAGAGAGCATAGTCTCCAACTGAATTTTTCTCAGTTGAGCCAGGTGAAGACTGATTGAGAGAAAAAGAGAAAAAAGAAAAAGAAAAAAGAAGCTGATCTGGAGAATAATTTCTGCATTTTGAAATTAGATAGTATATTAGGCTATTCTTGCATTGCTATGAAGAAATACCTGAGGCCGGGCATGGTGGCTCTAACCTGTAATCCCAGCACTTTGGGAGGTCAAGGAGGGAGGATTGCTTGAGCCCAGGAGTTCAAGACCAACCTGGGCAACATAGAGAGACCCTGTCTCTACAAAAAATTTAAGAATTAGCCAGGCATAGTAATGCATGTCCATGGCCCTAGTTACTTGGGAGGCTAAGATGGGAGGATCACTTGAGCTGGGAGGTGAAGGCTGCACTGAGCCATGATGGTATCACTGTACTCCAGTCTGGGTGACAGAATAAGAATAAAAGAAAAGAAAAGAAAAGAGGGAGGGGAGGAAGGGGAAGGAAGGAAGGAAGGAAGGAAGGAAGGAAGGAAGGAAGGAAG